TCGGAGGCCTGGCGGGGCCCAGGGCCTCCCCGCGGGGGACCGGGCCTGGAAGGCCCGCGGCGTTCGGCCCGCCCGTGGGCGTTACCGGGCGCTATACGCCCCGTCGCCATTTGTCGCCCTGAGCCGAGGTTTTGAGGATGGTTTCTGCCCGGGTAGGCGGGAAACGGGGACGGGCTAGGCTTCGGGCCTACCAAGAAGCATTGGGGGCCCACGAAGGGCCGCGGGCTGTGTGGGAGGACTGGGGAGCTGATTGGGCCTCCTCCGGAAGCCCCCTCGGAGGCCCGCCCGGAGGCCCCCGGCCGAGGGCGCGGGGGCCCGGAGTGCTTGACAGCCAGGGCCAGGCCCGGGGCGGAGCCGCGGCCGCCAGCCCGCCGCTCACTTCCCTCCTACCCGTGCCCAGAACTCCAATGTCGAGAACCTGCCTCCCCACATCATCCGCCTGGTGTACAAGGAGGTGACCACCCTGACCGCAGATCCGCCGGATGGCATCAAGGTCTTTCCCAATGAGGAGGACCTCACTGACCTGCAGGTCACCATCGAGGGCCCTGGTGAGTGTGGCGTGAAAGGGGCAGGCCTTCGCCATGGTGCTGTGGACCCAACAAGAGGCCTTAGAGGGCCCCCCCTCGCAGCCCTGGCCCCATCTCGGGAGCCCAGGCACTGCGCTCTCTCACCTCGTATTGTGCATGGCTGTTCACTTAAAATGTATTCATGTGGCCTTTCCCCATAACTTTTGAAATGTTTCTGGTCACTGAGACTGCTACCGGGAATCTTCCCTGAGCTGGAGTGAGGCTGCCAGGTGTGGCCTCTAGACCTGGAGATGTGGAGTAATTAAGTAGGAGTGGGAGGAGAGCCCAGGCCGTTGGAAATCGCCTCAGCGAAGTCCTGGAGGGTGGGACCATCGGGAGATCTGAGAATCCTTCCTGTGTGTCCCCTCAGGGGCTCTGGGACATTGCAGGGCACTAGGCAGCATTGTAGGGGAGCCGCTGAGGATTATACGTGATTGTATTTTGTATGATTGTATTTTGTAGCACAACCAAGAATGTGGTTTAATACAAACTACTTGCCACCTGACTTTCTAGTCAGCTAAGGAGCTGACTAGTGGGTGGAGGAAGGTGTGGTGTGGGGTGGAGTTTAAGTGACAGGTACAGGGATTCACCTCTTGCTGCACTGATGTTTGAGGCACTTAAGACCCAAAAGATGGGAAGGCAAAACTCCCCAGAAAGCCCAAGATAGGCAGATGGGCCTGGGTGCTTTGCAAGAAGTAGCTACTAGAGTGATGAGGGAGATCTTCTAAGCTTCTAGGCCTCTAAGGAACTTGGAAAGAAGTTGATGTGGAGATAAAACTAGGGACTTGGCAGTTGGTTCTCTGCAGTTTCAGTTGACCTGGTGGAGCAGCTGCAGACTAGTGGAGAAGCCATACTTAGACGTGGGGTCAGATTAAATAAAAGAGGGCCTGGAGGGCAGCTGACCAGGCTGCTGATGGGCCAGGTTTGGGAACTGTGATGAGTGTGACTGCCAGGTTCCCACATCTTATTGTCCAAGCAAATTGGAAAATTAGAGAGCTGTTTACTGGTGGGTAAAGTGCTGAAGGACTTAGGTCAGCAGGACCGTGTAACCATTTGTCCAAGAGATAAATGGGCACTTAGACTCCTACTTCCTGGAAATGACGTGTGCCTGGGCAGTGTCTGAGTAGAAAATGGCATCTCATGGTGAAGGACAGGTGGGGCTGTAGGTCAGTGCCTATCTCTGAGGTGTGAGGAAGTGGTGTGGCCTTTGGCCCTCAAGAATCCCCCAGCACAGTACAGACACCTATTTTGTAGCCAGACTGTTGAGGGCTTCGAGCCCTATGGGATTCTGGATTCTTCCTTAGTCTTTCCTCTACTACAGAGGGGACCCCATACGCTGGAGGTCTGTTCCGCATGAAACTCCTACTGGGGAAGGATTTTCCTGCCTCCCCACCTAAGGGCTACTTCCTGACTAAGATCTTCCACCCAAATGTGGGTGCCAATGGTGAAATCTGTGTCAACGTGCTCAAGAGGGACTGGACTGCTGAACTGGGCATCCGACACGTGCTGCTGGTGAGTTCTACCCCGGGCTTCCCTTCTCTTCCTCTGAGGGTCCCAGGAATGAATAAGCCAGAGTTTTGTTCTCTTAAAACCCAATCTACAAGGGGTAGAGTGCTTCTTAATTTGGTAAATCTGAGTTTCGCTCTCAATACTTTAATGGGTGGGTATTCACATGGGTTCCCAACTTTCCTGGAAAATGCCAGAAGAGTTAGTGCCAGGGACTGACTACTGCTGTGCAGGGTCAAGACACACTTTGCCATTTGCCAGCAGGTTTGAACAGTAGGACAGTCTGGCAGGCAGGCGGACAGACAGCACTGTCTAGTTATAGGCTTTTTGTTTGTTGGTCGTGGAGCTTGAACTTGGTGCCTAGACAATCCCTGAGCTTTTTTGCATTTTACCACTTTGAGCCACAGTGCACTTCTCTGGTTTTCTGGTAGTTAATGGAGGCAGAGTCGCAGGCACTTTTGTTGTCCAGCAATCCTTAGATCTGTCTCGAGTGGCCAGACTTACAGGTGTGAGCCACTGATACCTGACTAGACAGTTTTTCTTTTTGTAAGCTGTGATAATTTGCATGCCATTAATTTCATTGCTGTGAAGTACAGAATTTACTTATTCTTCTTGGCAGTAACAAGGTTGATGTCTTGATTCTTCTCCCCTAACTAGTGTTTCTCAGGGGTGGTTTTGCTCCCCAGGGACATTTTGCATTGTCAGGAGACATTTTGGGTTGTCAATGCAGGCATCTAGTGGGTGTGGCCAGTGGCTCTGCTCAGTGTCATATACTGTGCACATGATGCCCCTACAGGGTCCAGCATTCCTGAGGCAGAGAGCATGGTCTAGGCCAGTACTCCAGTTTCTAAAGGCCACTTACAGCACATAGGCTACCTGCTGCCTTCCCACTCCTCCCACAAACTTAAAATTTTTGTAACTCAATTTCTAATGAGCCCCTAGGGCAGATGGTAGGGAAGACAGGGAGTTGAGGTTTCCTTCAGGGCACTGAGAAAGGATGAGCTCTACCGTAAGCAGACCCCAAATCATACATACCTCCTTCCTGTTCCATTTTTTTGGAGGGTCGGGGGAGGCTGCACTTGTCAGCTAAGGTCTTCCTGCTCCCACTGGTGCTGGGACTGTCAGCTCTGCTCAGCCAGAGAATTAGCTGGGTTAGGGGCAGTCAGTCTAGAGGCTACAAGGCTGGCCCGCTGCAGAGCTCTGCAGATTCTGGGTTCCCCTGACTTTCCCACAGACCATCAAGTGCCTGCTGATCCACCCTAACCCCGAGTCTGCACTCAATGAGGAGGCTGGCCGCCTGCTTTTGGAAAACTACGAGGAGTATGCTGCCCGGGCCCGTTTGCTCACAGAAATCCATGGTGGTGCAGGTGGGCACAGCAGTGGAAGGCCTGATGCCAGCCGGGCCCTGGCCAGTGCCTCTGCAGCCTCTTCCACTGACACCATGGTCCCTGGGGCCCTTGGAGGGGCTGAGGGGCCCATGGCTAAGAAGCATGCAGGCGAGAGAGACAAGAAGCTGGCCGCCAAGAAAAAGACGGACAAGAAGCGGGCACTAAGGAGGCTGTAGTGGGCTCTTCCCACCCCTGATCAACTCTTCCCCATCTGTTCCTTCTCTCCCACTCTGTCTCTAAGTTATTTAAATTATGGCTGGGCTGGGGGAGGGTTGGGAGGGCACTGGGACCTGGATTTGTTTTTCTAAATAAAGTTGGAAAAGCAATTTCTATGCCCACTTTATGGCTCAGAGTGGCTGGCCTCCCTGATCTGCTCCTAGGCCACATGTCCTGTGTGGAGTCACAGCCTTCTCCTAGAACCTGCTCCTGTCCTGTCCCCTTCTCCCCTCCCCTTTCTATGCTCACCACCTTGAAGCAGCTGTGCCTAGTCCTGGACTGGCATCCGGACTGGACTTCAGTGGCAGACAGTGGACAGGGAGTTACTGGACAGTGTGGGTGCTCCCAAAGGCCAAGCCAGACTACTTTGACCGTTTTCTTGGGGGAAGGCACAACCCATACCATGTGTTTGTCACAAATTCCACAGCTTTGCAACACTCATCAGTGTTACTCCATGTTGGATTCAAACAAACTGAAGTGTCTGATGTCCATGTCCCTGCGGCCGTTTCGTAATTCTCATTTTTTTTGGGGGGGGGACCCAGTCTTGGGGCCTGAACTCGGCCTGGGCACTGTCCTTCAGCTCAAAGCTAGCGCTCTACCACTTGAGCCACAGTGCCACTTCCGGCTTTTTTCTTGTTGCTTATGTGTTCTGCGGAATCGAACCCAGGCTTCAGGCATGCAAGGCAAGCGCTCTACCACTGAGCCACCTTCCCAACCCCTCATCTTATTTCTTATAAGCTGCCCCTCTGCATGTTCTGTCAGGACACACTGGGGTCGGGTCCTGACCTCTTTTAGTACTCCTGCAAACCCAGGGCTTCTGACCTGAGTCAGCAATGGCAAGAGAAGCAGGCAAACCAATGGGTGTTCCAGTTGTGTGCAGTAGGGGGAGCACACTTTGCAGAAGTGAGATGAAGGCAGGCAGGTACTCCATACCTAGCTCTCCCAAAGTCTTAGTGAACTGCACCCCCACACAGATGCCAGTGCAACACTGAGATGCTGTAGCATGAAGACCGCACATCTGATTGGTATGCCTGAGCAAGTACATTGGGGATTTAACGATACTGAAATGGCCTGGAATAGGTGTGGTGCACAATTTCACAATTAGACCAAAAGAAAAAAAAGCCTGTTTTCACTGGCTTGGGAATGCGACTAAGGGGCAGTGTGCCTATACTTGCCAGTGCACCTGCTTAAAACCAGGCCAGTGACTGACTAGTGGGGTGAAACCCAAAGTTGAGAGAACGGGGCTCTAATCCATGTTTGAGCCAGACTCAAGTAAGTGGAACCCTGGGAGGCACCAACCTCTTAGGTGGCCAGTGGAATCAGCCTCATCCCAAGCAGACTAGCCAGCACTCTTCTAGACCAAAGCCTCTGAAGACACTTGCCCCCACCCCGAGCCAGACAAAATGGTCCACATCAGGTCAGCAAGCCTTTTCTGGAAAAATGGTGTCGCATCTGCACCCCCCCCTTTTTTTATTTGCCCGTCGACCTGAACTAGGCCTGGGCGCTGTCCCTCAGCTCTTCAGCTCAAGGCAAGCTCTCTACCGCTTGAGCCACAGCGCCACCTCCGGTTTTCTGTTTATGTGGTGCTGAGGAATCGAACCCAGGGCCTCATGCATGCAAGGCAAGCACTCTACCACTGAGCCACCTTCCCAGCCCTGCATCCCCTTCTTGTATGTGTAGTTCTGAAGTCCCCTTCAGTGAACAAATGGCGCACTGAAATTGAGCAACACAGGGCAAGAGTTGAAGGCGCACAAAAAGGAGGCCCAGTGATGGTGGTAGAGAAAGGTGACAATTCTTTATTGCTTTTTTTTTTGGGGGGGAGGGGAAGGCTCAGGAGCTCTTGGTGGGGCGGGTCCGCTTCCTCTTCACCACCACAGGCTTCTGGCTGCGCAGGATGGCGCTAGCTCTGCGGATGGCAGCCTGAGGGGAGGGAAGGGACAGGTGAAAGGGTTCAAAATCTGTACAGCTACTTCCCAGGCCTGGGTGAGGTCCAGAGGCAGGGCCTCCTGGGCCCAGGTCCACCACTGAGAAGAGTACTCCTCAATACTGACTAGCCCCACCTAGGCTGCAGGTGTAGGTCCAGGAGCCGGGAGCCGGGCACTGCCATCTCCCAACCTGGAGGCTCCAGAGTCCCCCACTCACCATGCGCAGATCGGGGCGGTACTTGTTCTTGCGGATCATGTGCCTGATGCTGCTGAGGGTGGCCCGTGCGTTCTTGTTGATGGTGGTCCGCACGTAGGATGTGACTGGCTTCCGCTGACCTAGTGCAGGGAGTCCACACATGACTCACCTCCCAGGCTGAAACAACCCCAGAAACCTGAGCACCCTCCATCAGCTCTGACCCTGGACAGGCTGAGAGTCAGCAGCCTGGACTCTGGTCCCACCCATCCATTCAGCAGACTCCTACAGGCCTCCCAGACACACACACCCTGTCCTCACAAGCTCATTAACCCTCCAAGGTGACGCCTGCGTAACCTTTGTTTTAATCTTAGCAAGATGGCCCAAAACTAAAGTGTTTCAGGACCAAGCTACCCTGACTAGAATCCCAAATAAGAATTAGAGATAGTACACAGGTGCAAAATGCCCAAGTGTAAGACTTTGTGTTGACTGGTCTGGGAAATAGATGTGCATCAGCCCTAGGGCAGAGAAGTCAGCTGGAACCATTAAAGAACAACTTAACACCTCCCAGCTCCCAATCCTGGGCAACTTGCTGTTGGGTAAGAGCCCTAGCTAGCACTATAAGCTTCTGGAATGCTTCCCTGAGAAGTCAACAGGCAGCCTATGACCAAACCCATTCTTGGCCTAGGGAAGGCTACCACAGACCCATCAATGTGAGTCTGTCAGGACCCAAAACGGTCCTCAGAGCAAGATGCCAGCTCCACTGCTCCCTGGACTGTTTGTTCCTGAAGAGGGAAGATAATCTCCCAAGATGGGAGGGCTGCAAGTCACTAGGGTCAAGGCCTGAGTGATGCCATCCATGAATAGGATGCTGGGCTCTGCGTAAGAGTAGAAGCCAGTCTCCATCAGCCTGGGAAAGTCATTCCAATTAAAAAAAAAATGCACGACGGCCCAACAGGCACAGCTTTCCAGAGTAGTTAAGGGAGGAGTGTGAGTCTGTGTGTGTGATATACACATAGGCCCCTCGCAAGCAAGAGTAGGGACAAGTGCGACCTTGGGCTAGACCTACCCCATCATCTTCACAAGGTTAGGAGAGCTTAACTGTTTGCCTCTTTGTGAGCTAGAAGGTACCTCACCTGCACTAGACCGTCCCACGGCTTCGTTTGCACCCTCAAAGCCACCGGGGAAGCTCAGGCTCTCCTAGTTTCCCACTCACGGTGCGCAGATCCCACTGCCAGGCAGACAGTGAGAAGAATGCGTTTCCTAGGACCAACTCCTGACCCGAGAGAAGCTAAAAATGGGCGGTAGATGCACTCCCCGGTCCCACAGCTACCCTGTCCCAGCGCCCCGCCCCGTGTCCGGGGAGGCTCACCAGATCTCCGCTTCATGACCACCACGACTCCTTTGCCGTCAGCGGCGGGCTCCACGCCCACAGTCTTGCGGTGGATCAGCCCATTGTACCGGAAGGAGTTGCGGGCCTTCAGGTTGTTGGGCTCCTGTGTACAAGGCACTAACCTGAGCCGAGGGGACACACGCGTGGGTCCCTTCCTGTGACCGCAGGCCCCTCTCCCCGCAGGGCTGCGGCGTCCGGGCCCTACTCACGGTGCTGTAAGTCTGCTTGTTCCTCTTGATGAGGAAGCTGGAGCAGTTCCTCACGACCATCCACTGCAGGTGCGCGGACATGGCGGCGGCTGCGGAGACACGAAGCACGTGGGAGAGCGCCGAGGCCGGCGTTGGGAGCGGGGCAGTTAGCGCCAGAGCCCCCGGGCAACTGCAATGGGGGGAGGTACCCGAGAGCAGGCCGCGGCCCGAGCCCCGGCAACGCGACCTACGGCGGCTGCCAGCGAACGAGGGCCTCGGGAACGCGCGAAACCAGAGAGACAGGGCCGGGAGCTTCGCCGTCAAGGCGGAGGGGGCGCTGGGGGCAAAGCTGGGAGAGGGGCGAGGGGCGAGGGGAGAGGGGCAGGCGGAGCGCACGCGCTCACCTCCTCGCGTTGCGGCAGCCGGAGACCAAAAGAGATAGGCCGGAGGCGGGGCAACAATTTAACGCCACCACGCATTTCCGTTTCCGCTGTGGGCGGGCGCCCACCGCCGCCGGCCCGCCCTTCCTCCCTTGCTGCGTCCGGACCCCGAAGCGGCTCGGTGGCGTCCGGCCATCCCCGCCGCGTCGTCGGGAGCCCTCGGGAGAGCGGTTCGGAGGTCTTCGGGCGCCCCTGGCACCCGGCGGGAGCCCTCGGCTGCTCCCTCCCGAAGGCGCCGGGGCCTCGCTGCTCGGCCATTTCCGGAACGGTCCGCAGGCGCCGCCTCGGCGTGACTCGGGCCTGGTCGGAAATACTCGGCCCTCCGGTCGGCCGCGTTCGGCCGTTCCCCGCGGGATCCGGGCGGAGGGCCCTTCCCAGCCGTGTTGAACTTTTCCCCCCAACTTTGGAGCAACTGGACGGAGCCGGACGGGAGGGACGGACTCTGGACGTGGCCGTCCCGGTGTCCCGCTAGTTGCCCGCGGTGGTCCGAGCCTCACTGCGCCCCGTCCCCGCCCCCAGCAGCTTGGCTGCCCCCTCCAGGGGCCCCGGAGCTTATCATCCCACCGGGCCCATCCCGAAGGCCTGCGGCCCGCGCCCGGACACCGCCACCTCGGCTGATGGATGCGTTCCGTGTCAGGATTACGCCCGAGGACTGACTCCCTGCAGGCAGGACCAGGGCCAGGCTCTGCCCGCGTCTGCGCCCTAGGCGTAGGTACACGCGTGACCCCCGGGCCCGCCCCGCCACGGTAGTTGCACGCTGTCCACGGCGGATTCATCTTCGCGCCACGACGCCCGAAGACCCCAGAAAACGCTCGAGAGTTTCGAAGGAACTCAGCTCGTGCCCGGGCCGGGCCGGCTTCCCCGGGGAGCCTTGCCTGACCACTTTCGGGGCACACTTGGTCCCGAAGCACGGGAGGCCGCGGGGCGTGGGCACTGACCGTGGGCAGCTCCGGGCCGCGCCGGCCCCCGGGCGGGGC